ATATATATATATATATATATATATATATAGACCTATTTATGGCAAGTCAAAAAAGGTAATTATTCTTCTATACCTGGTTAGCAAGATTTCAGAAATCTTTGAGGCACAGATTATTCTATCCAAATATTTTCTAGAAAATCTACTAGAGAACAGTAGTAGTACCAACACACATGTTGTGTTTGACTTATTTTCTTAATATGATAAGTTAATACACAATAAATTTCCTCCCAGTTTTATCAAATAGAGGGCATAGCAAGATAAAGCTTAAGAAATGTTATTTTCACCAAAGAGCAAAGGTGTATTTACAATTGTGATGTTTTGTATAAAACTGGAGATCACCATCTCAAATTATAATAAGTAAAACTGTTTGGCAAGGCATGTTGTTTACTCAGACTTGGAATGTAATTTAATTCCATAAAAATAATGTTTCAATTTTGAGAGAACTGTCAGTTATTGGCAAAATTATCTAAACATATTATGCATAATGTTTCTGCAGCCCTGCTCTATACAAATCACCAGTTATGCTTCACTTAAAATGCTGTATACAGTTTTGGTCTCCTTACCTAAGAAAGGCTATTAAGCTGTTGGAAAGGGTGCAGGAGAGGACTACAAGAATACGTTTGGGATGGGAAAAAGAGTTATTGTATAGAGATAGGTTACAGCATCTTATTTTCTCTTCAGAAAACAAGATAAAAGGTAATCTTATTGAAGTCTGCAAGATTATCCAGTGGATTAGTAGCATAGAGGCCTATGATTTCTTTGTGCTGTATTCTAATGCCAATATGGCAAGAGAAATGTTTCAAATTTGAAAATGACAGGCTAGCTCCAGTTAAAATTGTTTTATTTGTTTAACAGTTCCAATCAGCAGTAGTGCAGGCCAGCACTTTATAAGAATTTAAGAGGGGAGTCAATTTCCTGAAAATAAAAAAAAGACCAAATGGTTTCTTGTTGTCCATATTTTATGTTAATTATGATATCCACTTACAGATCTGTTTGAAAAAACAACAAATAAAAGATAGTGCAGATCACATGCATAAGACCATGAGAAATCTAAATGGAGGTGCACAGTGATGAAACTGAGTTCCCATATTGTAGTTAGAAAAAAATCTATGATTAGATGAAAATTGTTTTATTTCAAATATGTAAATATCTTGCATATTTATGCCAGTGAGTATTGGGTATGCAAGTGTCTGGTGAGATGAAGGAGTTGAGAACCACTGGTACATGATATAGTAGTCAGATTGTGTTAGCCAGCTCGTAGTAAGTTTAGAAAATTATTTTTATTATTTATTGCACGATGTTTATATTCAATTAACTTATTTTTGAGCTTCACAGACATTAGTTTTCTTGATGAACTATCCTGCTGCCCAACTCTGTAGTTAAACAGTAATGTACTGAACTTGAAGTATTTTTTTCTCAGATGATAAGTTAAAGATACACAGCAGAGCTGTTTAATTAATGAGCTTCCACTGGTCACTAGATGTTATTATGGAAAATTATATAAAGTTTTATATGTACTAATGTCATGCTTTCAAGGGATAGAAAATTTGTGAGACTACAAGAGGCAATCATTAGTTTTATGCATTTCTTAAGTTATATTATTTCGTTAATGTTAGCTTCATTAATAGTATTGAGTAAAATTTCTAAAATATATATATATGTATACACACACACATACATGAATGATTTTTATATACACATAATTATATATTAATTATAATAATATATTATGTATTCATTGCTTTAACTCAGTGTATGGACTTAAAGACTAACCTACATGTAAGTTAGTTAACCCTCCCACTATGAGCTTGGTGGAATCCACCCAGCTCATAACCATGGAAGTATCCACGAGTTTTGATAATGTATGCATATCTTTACAAAATTTTGCAAGTTATTGGTAAACATTACAAGGCTTTCATACACAAAATATCAGGTTTTTAAATTATGTATTAAGATTTTTTAATTATAGATTTTCTCTTTCAGAATGTTGACTATCTAATATGCAAAGTATTTTTGATTTTAAGACTATAAATACTTTTATGCATCAGAACATTTTCATATTTCACATGCAAAATCTTTATAACCACCAGATAATTATCAAACGTTATTAAAATTTATATTTTATCTGTCATTTTAAATACTGTATCTCTGTATGTGTTGCTTCGATTTGACCAACTTCAAAACCTCCATAAAAAGATTAGGAAATGAATAAAAATTATGCTTTTTTCATTCTAGAATGACTACAAATTATAAAATTAAAACACACAAATTTTTAGTCCAAATAGCTTGATTTTAAAACATTATACATTTATAAATACATATATATATTATTATTATTATTATATTTACCTTTCAGCAGTGCCTGGCTAACATTATAGAAGTTGCAATGACATGGCACATGGGCACTCGTGTTACCATATCTAAGAGTATAAAACTAGCCTTTACAAAGCAACCTGTTTTGGCTGTTTTAGTGGATTAGTATTTTGTAAAATAGTCACATTTCAGTTATAATATATTATA